AAAAAAAGATGAGGCAGGGCGGCCTGCTTGGGTGGCAGCAACCAAGCCCGGAGCTGTGGACCCTGGGGCCCTAGACAGGCGTGTGTGTTCTTATGGGTCATTTCTTTGTCCCTAGCCTCGGTTTCCCCATTTATAAATTGAGGAGTGTCTACAGTAATGGTTCTCAAATTTGAGGAGTCAACAAAATGCCTGGAGAGAGTGGTGGTGGAAACTCTCACTGCTGGGCTCCACCCCCAGTTTCTGAGTCAGTAGGCCTGTGGTGGGACCCCAAAATGTGTACCCCCAGCAAACCCCCTAGTGGGGCTGAGGTTTTGGGGACCCCACATTGGTCTAGAGCATCTCTGTGGTTGACATGTCATTGAGTCTATGATGAATAGGTCCTGGGCCTTCTACTCCTGAAGTTCCCCCTTCCTTCTGTGCATTCATTCACCCACCTGTTGACACAGTCTGGGGATTCGGCCTGCTGTGGTTTGGTTGTGGTTTGGGTGTGTGCCCCAAGGGTTAAGAACAAGTAGCTTAGTCCTCTGTGTGATGATGATGGAAGAAACGAGAACCTTTAAAAGTGGGGGAGCTAGAAATATGGCTCCAGGGGCTGGAGAGATGGCTCGGTGGTTAAGAGCACTGGCTGCCCTTGCAGAGGACCCAGGTTCAGTTCCCAGCACCCACAAAGTGGCTAACAACCATCCACAGCCCCAGTTCTGAGGGATCCAACACCCTCTTCTGACTTCCACAGCCATTACACAACATGGGTACACTTACATATATGCAGGCAATATACTCATACTCATAAAATAAAAATAATAAATAAAATGTATTTTTTTAAAAGAAATATGGCTCCATTGACTGGCAATGCAGCTCTGCTGGTACAGTACCTGCCTAGTACTGCACAAACTAGGTGTGTGGCACATGTCTGTAATCCCAGTGCTCAGGTGGTGAAGGAAGAGGGATCAGCAGTTTAAGGTTACCCTTGACTACACAGCAAGTTTGAGGCCAGTCTGAGCAACTTCAAGCCCTGTCTCAAAAACAAAATGCGGTTGACTGAATGAGAGGCGCCCCATAGGCTCCAAGCATTTGAACACCTGGTCATTTAGTGGCACCATTTAGGGAAGGTCATGAAACCCCTAGGAGGTGTGACCTCAGAGGAAGCAAGTGACTGGGGGAGGCTTGGAGTCCAGATGGTGGTTTCTTGATGGGCTTCCTGTTCCAGTTTGAACATATGAGCCTTCAGCTT